ATCTCCCCACCCCCACCCCCACCCCCCCGATGCTGCTGCCTCCAGGATGCACGAGTGGGCCCGTCGGGAAGCTGAAAGGCTTGTAAAATACCGAGAGGCCAATGGCCTTCCTATCATGGAATCCAACTGCTTTGACCCCAGCAAAATCCAGCTGCCAGAGGATGAGGACTGAATGGATGCCTAGTGAAGCTCAAGAAGCACCGCCTTCTCTACCCCCTGCTTGCCATTCTGCCCTCTTCTCAGAGCACCTTATTAAAGGGACTGAAAATCTGACTGGCTGGTGTTAATTTTGTTGTGAGGGGGTTGTGGGAGTTGGGGTATCAGGCCTTAAAAGGGCCACTGCAGCTTTCTCTGGGTGTTCTGGTTATCTCTTTCTGTGTAACAAACATCCTAAAACTTTGTGGCTTAAAACCACAATTTAGTATTATCTTTCATGGTCCTATGGTTGACTCGGCTCAGTTAGGTAGTTCTTCTTGGGGTCACATGGTGGCTGTGGGTCCCTATGGATAGTCCCAGCCAAGCTGCTTCAATCGTGCAAAGATGGGCTATGTGTTGGGTTGCACTGTGGACATGGTGGCTGGGACACTGTTCAGCACCTTTTCCTGTCTCAGGATCGGAATGTGGGGTCAGAAGCTGATGGGCAGCATGGGGAAAACCATGGTGCAGAGTGGTGGCACATTCATGCCTATCAGGATGGGCATCTGATGCTAATCAGCAATGGTTGCCCACATCTAGCCCATCCCATCAGTCCCAGCCCATGTACTATAATAAAAAGACTGAATAACAAAAATTCTTCAGTGAACATCCTTATATACTTTTTTTGATGGACATAATGCACTTGTTTCTCTTAGGTGTATATCTGGGAAGGGAATTGCTAAGTCATGGGGTAGACAGGTGACCAGCCTTAGTAAAGTATGCCAATTTCCCCGACTACGCTTCTCCCTCTGGTAAGTGCTGCACCCTTGCGATCATTCAGCATTCTCCATCTTTTTCACAGTATCCATTTTGGTAAGCAACTGACCTCTGAAGGACCACATTGGGATGAAGGGGTGGGGGTTGAGTTCTTCCTGTGTGCCAGGCCCTGACCATGCGCCAGGCCCTGACAGGTACCAGGATCTCGATCCTCAGCAACTTCCCAGGGTGGGTGTGGTGGCCAGTGTGAGTGGTCAGAGAACTTAAACATAATGTTTTCACTCTACTGTTTGACTCCAAGGATATTTGAACCTTGATATTTTAGACCCAGCTTTGCTCCAGCAACATAACATACCAACCTTCATCCTTCAATCTAATAGAGCATTTATTATGTGCAAGGCCCAATGAACAAGACAGTCTCTGTAGTAGGCACTGTCAGTTCCCTGTCCGTGCCCCGGTGGCCTTGCTGCTTCAGTGTGCTGCTGGCCAACTGCCAACTGCCAGGGTCTGCATCTTTTCATTGGAGGGCTTCTCATGCTGGCTGCTGGCCTGACAGGCTGGAAGAACCAGGAAATGAACCCCCTCCCCCAGCCACCATCAATCAATGACTGATGAGAATGGTAAGTAAGTGCCCCTCCCCCCTTACCCCCACGTGGGACATCATGGTGGGTGCTCTCCACTGGCCCCCAGAACTCTGCAGTGGAAACATGCTCCAGCTGCCCACGGTGCTAAGTCGCTTAACACTGTTCATTGGCTGCCTTCTCTGTCTCACTTCCGCACTTCCCCACTGCCTAACAGGTGCTTCCTGAATTCACGTCCCAAATAAACTATTTGACTTCAATCTTTGTCTCAGGGTCTGCTTCTGAAGGGACCTGAACTAAGATATTTTCTGTTCTCAGGGAGTTTACATTAAGGTGATGGGTAAGACAGAGTACACAAGCACAGAAAACATAATTTCCACCAGAAGGCTAATGTTGCTGGAATGTTGTGCTTACTGGAATTACTGGAATCTTCCAGGAAAAGAGTGACTAGAGATGAGGTTATAGAGGTGATCATAGGCCATACCCTTAAGGCCCCATGGTTAGGAGGAGTTTAGATTTTACACACTACACAACATTGACCAGAAGCTTACTGAAAATCCAGCTTAGCCAAGCCATTCTCAGATGATTCTAGACAGTCTAAGGGGGATTGCTTATGGTTTTTCTCATGGATTACCCAGGAAATAAAAACAATCTTACCAGCTTCACAATGACTATTACTGATAGACATAAGCACCGCAGAATAAACTGATAACAGCTAAAACTGTGAATTTAAAACATACTTTACGTTGAGGGAGAACTGATAGAAGGATCCTATGTTGTCAACAAAATGTGAACCTGCAAATTTTGATCCTGAAATATTAGACTTGGTGAAAACTAGCCACAAATAAAGCTCAGAATGACAGGAAAGTTACTCATTCAACAGATATTTATTGAGTGTCTACTGGGAGTCAGGCACTTTTTTAGGCAGTGGGGATACAGCAGGGAGAAAAAGATTAAAAACTTCCTGCCCTCGTGGAGCTTATATTCTAGCAGAGAGAGAGACAGATGATAAAGCAATAAATCACATTATTGCATTAAATTCAAAATAAAGCCAGCAAGGGGGATCAGGCATGCAGGATGGGAGAAGCCTGTATTTAAATAGGGTAGTCACCTTAGGCCTTGCTGAAAAGTTTATATATATATATCTTTATTGACTTCAGAGAGAGGAAGAGAGAGAGAAACATCAATGATGAGAGAGTCATTGATCAGCTGCCTCCTGCAGGCCCCCAACTGGGGATCAAGCCTGCAACCCGGGCATGTGCCCTGACCGGGAATCGAACTGTGATCTCCTGACTCCTAGGTCGATGCTCAACAGTTGAGTCATGCCCGGCTAGGCTTTTTTTTTTTTTTTGAGGAAAAGAATTGTTAAGAAAGTGAGAGATGAGCTACACAGATGGAAGAGCATTTCTAGGAAAGGGAACAACCTGTATAGTCCCTGACGCAAGAATGTGCCTGAGCTGTTTAAGGAGCAGCCTGAGGCCAAGGAGATATCTGGGGCAAAGTTATTACTGCTGAAATATGACACAGACAAGAAAATTGACGCATGGATCGAATCATCACTGTAAAATTCACCTGAAAGTGATTCATCCCAGTGAAAACAATTTCAGAAAAATGAAAATGGCCAAAATTGGCCACTATATGGCATTGAAGAAAGAATTAAATTGGCTCAGAATTCACGCCAGGGCAAACTTTCTTAATAGAAATTCACCTGAGTTGGCATAATTCCAATTGTAAATGTTAATATTTGGAAGCAGAGCTATTACGTCTGAGGTCAGTTGTGTATGAGTCAGAGGGGCAAATCAGGGCCAACCAGTATCCAGGCATGGCAGCTTGGCGTTAACCATCATTGGAAAAGGCTCATTCACTCATTCACTCATTCATTCATTCATCCAACAAATATTTACCAAGTGTCTATTGTGTGACAGGACATAAAGCAGTGAATGAAACAGGCAAAAAAATCCCTGCCCCTCTCAGAGCTGACTTCTCTGTAGGAAACAGATAATAAATGTAAAGAATAACAATTTTGGGTAATGATAATTTATAGGTAAATAAGTAAAATGTATAATATGGTGATAAATGTTAAGGAGAAAAATGAAACAGGAAAGGGTATAGTGTGTGTGTGTGTGTACATTTTAGCTAGAGTGGCCAGGCAAAAGGCCTCACTTAGACAACATTTGAGAAAGACCTAGAGGAAGCATCTCATTGAAGAGAGAACTTTTTAAATAGCTGTGTTTGATAGCTAGACAGTCATAGTGGCCATGACTGGGTTCAAATCATAGCCCCTCCACACTGAGATTAACCCGAGAGTGCTTGTAACACTGCCTGACAGATTAGGTGTTTATAAATTTTGGCAGAATGAATACTCATTAACATTAAGGTAGGGTCCATGGAAGTTTTTAAATAAGTGCCCTAAAAACGAAATTATGGTAATCATGGTTTGGGGGATTGTACACTTGGAGTGGAAGGTGATTTTGGAACCCTGGCAGTCACTACTGAGAGGTTTGGGGTCTGGTGTTGAAAGTGGTGGTTTCTGCCCGGCCAGCATGGCTCAGCGGTTGAGCATCGACCTATGATCCAGGAGATCATGGTTCGATTCCAGGTCAGGGCACAGGCCCAGGTTGTGGGCTCGATCCCCAGCAGACTCTCTCTCATCATTGATGTTTCTATCTCTCTCCCTCTCTCCTCCTCTCTCTGAAATCAATAAAGATATATTTTTTTAAAAAGAAAAGAAAGTGGTGGTTTCTGAAGACAAGGTTTGAAAACCTACTTAGGCCAGTTATGGCCTTGAGTAGTAGTTATCAGAAAAGCTGCAGGATCCTGGGGGTCAGTCATCTCAAAGGTAGAGAGGGGCTGGGGAACTCTGCCAGTGTCAGAATGAAGATCCAGGGTCTCAGCTGAAGTTTAGGAAAAGAACAGCCATTGATGATGCCACAAGGTGTCCATCAGAAGTCCATCTCTAGGGGCCCCGAAATGCTGTAGCTTTGTCATTTCATTCTCTTTCTAGCTCCCTCACCTCCTTCAAGTTTTTGCTAAGTATCAGCTTCTCAGAGAGGACTTTCTTATTTAAAATTCCACCACCACCCCCTTACTATTTATTCTCTACATTTATTGTTGGTTTTTTTCCCCTCCAAGGCACACACAAACTGCATTGGGCTTGTTGTCCTTTTAACTGTGGTCATGCCACGAGGAATTAAACAAAAGCAAACTGGGTCGTTATTTTAATGAGCGGGAAAGACACAGAGAGAGGAAGGAGGAGATGGAGAAAGAAGAGGAGGAAGAAGAGGGGGAAAGAAAAGGGGAGAGGGAGGGAAAGGACGGGAGGAAGGAAATCTTCAGAAACTCTAAACCCATCAAAAGGAGTCAGGACTGGTTTGAGTGTGTGTGTGTGTGTGTGTGTGTGTGGTGGGGATGTAGATTCAAAGAGATTCCATTTAAAATAAAAATACTCTCTGCACACACTATCCAGCCTCTGGGCTACCACTTTTCTCACCTGGAATCCACTTTCTCAATTTCCAGAAAATTCCACTCACCTTACAAAGTGGCCTTTTTGGGGAAAGCTTTCATTTTGAAAAAATAAGCTCAGATGGGTCAGTTTGGGATCTGACCCTGAAAAAGACTTTTGATTAATAAAATTTACCATTTTTAGTTTAAAGCCTATTTTGTCTGATATAAGTATAGCTACACCTGCTTTCCCCTCACTACCATTTGCTTGAAATAATTTTTTCATCCCTTTATCCTCAATCAATACAGGGTAGGGCAAAAGTAGGCTTACAGTTGTGA